ATAACCTGAGGGGGTGGGGTGGGGTGGGGGTGGGCCAGAATCCCCAAGCAGCCATCCTCCAGAGGGCACCAGGTGCTGTCCAAGTTTTTTTCCACGCGGAAGACTCGGTTCAAAAATGAAGCTGTCGTGGGCACGGCCGGGGAACTTTGTCACGACTCTAACGAATACCATCTGAGAATCACAAAAAAAGCTGAACGCTGAAACAGCCGCATTAGGAGGGAAATTGTGTATTTTTCTTTTTATCGTGAGTTGTGTAATCGAAATCGGCATTTTTTTAATTACTTGGATTGAAAAAGATTCAACCTCAACGTTACCGTACTATTACCTCGACGCTCTGAGGCAAAAAATCATCATTTGAACTAAACGAGGACTAAGAAACTGAAAAATGAAATTGTGGAACCAGGCGAAATACTTGAAAGAGCAGGAATCCAGGGTTGCCGCAACTGCACGAGTCGCCCGAAGCGAGCAACGGGTCGCATTCCGTTTTTGGACGCATTGCATTCCAAGCAACCAATCGTTTGCCAAAGTAACTGGAGCAAGTCAGGTGAAGTAATCTCATCCCTCATCCCTCCCTCATCCCTCCTCGATGTCTCGTCGGAAGGGACCACGCCATTCGGCCAGCGACCACTCCAGTGAGTCACCGAGTAACTTTCCTGCTCACAGATTCCGTGATCAAATCGTATGTCGCAACAAGCGAAGCCACGACGATCGCGTTGAGGAACAACGAGGGAAATGTCACTGAAGTCTCACGCCCGCGATCGGTACGAAAACGGAAGGATCGTCGAGGACGGGAGTCGATCGAGAGATGCAGTCCCTTCTGTTTCGAGAGGAGTCGGTCTCGTGATTTGTCGAATTTGGCCGTTTAGTCTTCAGTTAGTGTCGCCACGTTCCAGTACATTCCAACGTCAACGGAGAGAAGGATTTCCCTTCGATAGTACACTTCCAAAGCAAGCGTTCTGCGAGGTACTTCTGGAACTAGCGACCTGCGAGGCATTCCCAGAGCGACTGCTCCGCTTCCCACCTTTCCTCCGCCGATCTTCGTCTCCATCTCTTCTCGCTGAAGATATTAGAAATCGTGGATGTAACCACCTCGAAATACCGAAATTTTATATCAATGTGTAAATTAAAAAAAAGGCCATCTCGAGCGGAGAACCTGATGGAGCACAACCAGGTGGAGGACAACCAGATGGAGGACAACAAGATGCCCCGAGAGAGTCGCATTTGATAAAAGAGGAAAAGAAAAGGGAAGGGGGGGAAAGGGTTAACCGCCTGGATGGCCATTCGACCCGTCGCTCCCGGGGACAACCTCGTCTGCCCGCATCACAGGCTGCGCATGTTATAGAAGAGAATTCTTCCTTGGAATGGAACGAATTAATAATGAAGCTCGGTAAGCTAATTCAGCATACTAACTGGGTTTTTTCTTTTTGCTAGATGGACCGAGGAAATGAATGTCATTGCAGAGAAGACAGGAGTCGAAAGGGAAATCGATAAATTACGGTGAACTTCGGAGATATATATCAATAGAATCTAAAAGTATTTAAAACTTGATGGTAACTTCTTCAGAAGCTTCAACCAGGAGAGTGGTATTTGTAAAAAAAAAATAATAATAATAATAACTTCCTCCCTTATTATGTCTGAGATTGCCTGGAACTGCCCAGTCTGCTCATCAATGTTGATACAACGTTTTAATAGCATTGAAGACTCAGCATCCACAATGTTAAGTCAATGTTGAAAAAAATTGAATCAACATTGACTCAACGTCGAAATGAGACAAGTCTCAATAATTTCTCAACATCATGAGCCGATCGAATGCCTCATGCGGATGCCCTCTGATTACATAAATACTCCATAAAACATCAGCGTGATCTGAACCCTTTCTCCGTCTAATCATGGGCTCTACACCGAGATCAGAAGGAGACATCTAGATATTTAAGGAAGGATGGGAACACATGGTGATAGAAGCTAGAGGTGACTTACCTGTCGAAAATTACGTGAAACCTTTCTCATATAGGTCAAGAGGCTGGTGCAAGGAAACATTTTTGGGGTCTCATGGTGCGATTTCATGGAGTCAGATCAACACTTGAACTTTGTTCGATCTTTTCCCTGGGCCAGTATCATCAAGGATCTGATTGGGTTGTGCTGCCTCTTTAGTCAAATGTATCCAATAATTCAAATACCTTTCCCAGTGTTGTCTATGGAGAAAATATTAAGTACCTTTCAAAAGTACTGGGGACGCGTGCCAGTTGCACATATGAGGCGAGTCCCTGTGTTAGCAATTTGGCGCCACCTCGTCGCTGGATGTCTCGCCCGACATATGTTGATTTGAGGTTGACTCTACATTGAATCAACATGAAACCCTCTCAACATCGTCAACATATTATCAACGTAGAGTCAACGTTGTCGTGCAGACTGAGTGGTTGCTATGGCAATTGCTGACAAAATTGGTTTTCTAAAAGTTTTGTGCTCCTAGGTTGTCGTAATAAAAAATCGACAGTCGTTCAAAGTGGAGTCGTAAAATGTATATTTTGCGTGCATGAAGTGGATTTCTGCACCTCTTGAATTATTCCTCTCGCTAGACGCCATAAAGATTGCATTTTACCACATTTCCTTGAAGTTCCTTTACTGAACGTCCATTGGACGTCCATAGATGAACTGAAGCATTTCTTTCCTAGTGTCGAACTCTGTATGAAATCATGCACCGGTGAAAGGATAATTTCCCACTGTCTATATAATGATTGAAGTTATTGGATTTCGACCTAGGATGAGACATTTTATTATTTAAAAAAATACAACTATAGAAATCCCATGATCGTAACGTCATTCCAAGAAAAAACATAATTCAATAAAATGGAAATAATTAAGTGTTCGATGTAGGGAATTCTGCTCTGGTGAAGCCGAGAATGCATAAGAAGTCATCGATCCATGGCGATGACGCCCGATGTGCATCCAAAGGACGACCGCTTCTGGACAACTCTCCAGCCATCTCTGGACAACTCTCCGGCCATCTCCGGACAACTGGACTGCCCATGGATCACCCATGGCTATTTGGGTAGATTTAATAATCCAAAGGAGAGGACTCAAGAGGTATGATACAAAGAGTACTCTGAAAATACGGTTAATTAGCTATCATTTCATCGATGTTGATTTTTCGTCGAATTCTGAACTTCAACCAAATCTCAACGTTTCAACTTTTTCTCAACGCTGACACAACGTTGTTGTGCCGAATGGGTCTCCACGCAACACTACAACGGGAGAGAGAGCCATACTACGCCCGTAAAACGACCCCGCGTATAAAACTTGGGAGTTTCATCCTTTTCATCCCTTTCATCCCTGGAGGAACGATAACCGTATATTTATCGGGATCCCCACCCAATGTCACCCGGACCCGAAGTCTTCCACTGGTCGGCTAGAATGATAAAATCTATAACAAAATAAAAAAGTAATGAAATAAGAGAAGCACCGTGACCAACGACCGCGGCATAGGCAGCTCATCTGCCATCTCGCGCCGATCGGCGGAACCAGCCAGCCCACAATTAAATGTATTCTACTTTTTATTTTATGGGCGTCCAGGAAAAACAAATTGGAAGGAAAATTAATCTTGACCCTGCCTTCCCAGTTTCGAGTGAATTGCTTCCGAGCAAAGGAAATCCCACTCTAATAAATAAAAAGGTCAAGATGAAATTACAAATTTTAAAGTTCTTTAAAAACTTGGCAATACAAATACAAAATACAAAAAACTTGGCAATACAAAAAAAAAGGCCAGGGTCTTCCCCAGGACAGGAACTAATCTGATAATCAAGAAAGGCAATACAAATGAAAATTCCAAAAGAAATAATAGGTTAATTAAGGTACCGGTGCGATTCTACCTCGATTCACGAACACATCTGAAAACATGGGGGAAAATGTGATAAGTAGAACAAGGCAATCGATAAAGAAAAAAAATAAAATTAGTGATCTGATCCGGATCTGCCTCCATTCACGAACGCATCTGAAAACATAGGGGAAAAAAAAATAATTAGTACAAAGAAATGAAATCATTATTTCTTTTGGAATTTTCATTTGTATTGCCTTTCTTGATTATCAGATTAGTTCCTGTCCTGGGGAAGACCCTGGCCTGGCGAACTGGTTAATTTTTTATTTTAGTGCATTCATTTGTACACATTTTGATATTTTTTCTATGTATTTCAGAATGGTTCCTGGATGGAGATACAACCGGACGGGTTTTCGTTCCGTGTTTTGTGTTTTGGAATTCTCTTCCCTATAGGATTGATCATCATCAACTGAAGATTATTTCACGCTTTCGTCCTTTGATGGTTGGTGTCATTATTCTTTTATGGCATTATCTGGAGTGGCTCTGACTACTTTTAATCATTTCCTGATTTTTGTGCTTGTTTCCTTAACAGGACGATTTTGGGGCGGGAACTTACATGAAATCAATAGTTTAGATTCTTCGACCCTGGACGTCAATTTTGAAGAAGCAGGAATCGCTTCATTCCTGGCGACTGCACGACAAACAAGAGCAAGCTGCTTGAGAAGTACTTCTGGCTTTAACGACCTGCGAGGTACTCTAAAACGATTGCTTTTCTTCTTTCTTTTTTCGCTCACAGTCGCCATCTTTTCTCTCTGCTTAAAATATCTCTGAAATATCCACTCCGATATTACCCCCATAGCTCAGACGGGGAGGTATGGAGTATTCTATGGAGTCTCGGCCTGTCCTTGAAGTCGGACATTGCGAAATACCTCCTCGATCTCTCCATTCTACCCCGAGATTGACGGTAACAAAGGATCTAACTCGATTCCTGGCATTAAGTGTCTTATCTATCGCCAATTGTAGCTACAGTTTTTTCTCATCCACGGAAAGATCCCATTTCACGAATTAATTTATTTACAGAAGGTAAGGAGACGAATCTGGGCTGTGTGACCTGATGAAGCGATGCCTTACAAACGGGACGCGAAGATGCTCAACCACCTCGTAAATTCAGGGTGGCTAGAAGTGTAACTCACTCGAGCGTAGAGGTGTTACTGAGAGAGACCGCGTACAGCAGGGGACCGTACGGTAAATGTAGGCATGTATCCTTCAACCACGAGGCACTGCTTCCTCTCTTCCTAACATAGGAGACGAGGGAGTCACCCTCTGCATCAAATTCGTCTGCTGCCGTTTCTTTCCGTCTCGCACCGTATTCCACCATGTTATTCTGTTTTATGCGTACTGTAGAATTAAATATACTGTGATCTGATTTCTTCTCGACTGCATTTCTTCATGAAGTGAAATATATGTTCTTGTTCTGAAGTCTGTGAGTTTCTTGATGGCCAGTTCCTCATGAAATGAATTTCATGTCATTGTTCTGAAGTGTGTGAGCTTGTTGACAATTTCTTCATGAAATGAAATATATGTCATTGTTCTGAAGTTTGTGAGCTTGCTGATGGTCATTTCTTTCAACAGGCGACATTTTGTTCTTAGTGAATGTCATTTTGGTCTTGTGATGACATTGCTTGAAATTCTTGAACTGAATGAAGTGACCCTTTTAGAAAATGCATTNATATGTCATTGTTCTGAAGTTTGTGAGCTTGCTGATGGTCATTTCTTTCAACAGGCGACATTTTGTTCTTAGTGAATGTCATTTTGGTCTTGTGATGACATTGCTTGAAATTCTTGAACTGAATGAAGTGACCCTTTTAGAAAATGCATTTTAATGCTGCGACAAAGTGATTTCTTTTTGTCAAATCAACTGGTATCAACGTGCTCATACCGGCGACTGAGGGTTCTTGGTTGGGAAGAACCAGGAAATCATATCTATATGCTTCCGCACTGTGGGTGTGGGAAAAGGTTTTCATGGCAACTGAATATTGAACTGAATATTTATCATGAAATCTATGAACATCTCGTCTGAACAGTTGCTTCTTCTAACTTATTATTACTTTCTTTCTTTCACTTGTGTACATTGAGCCTTTTCTGAGCCAATTATGCTTTTTGACTGAAACCTGATGTGGTTTGACTCGTTCTTTTCTTGACAGCCTTGAGGAAGGAAATGAATAAAGATTGAATTTAGATAGGGCATACTATTTGATTTAAGGTACTTTGACTAGGAGACCCAATATTGTGTGTGCATGAAAAGGATAAAAAAATGGATGATACAAGGGTCATCTCAGAAGTCATTGCAGCTGATTTTTATTGCACCAAGTACAGAGTACATGGATCCCAACCGATGAGCAGCCCTTTGAAGTTGGTCCCCTAGTTTCATGACAGCTTCTCTTGACCTGATTGGCCTGTTTATAGCTTCATCTTGCATGTAACAGAGTGATAACATAGAAAACCCATAGTAATACACAGCAGTACAACTCAATCACATCACAGTTTCAAGGACCATAAAGCAGGCTCACCAGTGACCTGCTTTACTTCTGTCAGTGAAGCGATCCTGCTTCGCAGTCAGTCTTTGGCCACTTTTTGCAGAATTTCATTTTGAGGATCATCTTATATCAGGACGTTTGAGCAGTCTTTGCTTGACAAGAATGTTTCCAGAAAAATTTGGAGAAAGCAAGCACCCAAAAAATTTTGTCCATCCCATAGGCAATATGCACAGGGGAAAATATTATTGATCACATTACATTGAACACCATCACACATTTCAGAAGAGGCATGAGCAGTTTTCATAATTTTTATGATCATGAGAGCACCATGAGAGCACTTTACTTTAGAAAGTAAAGTGAATAGCGACATGGCAGAATTTATCTTTACACTTGAACTCAATGAGAGAAATACTGGGGGAGGAACAGGTGGGATTTTTTTGTTTGCTTCTATGAGCCAAGAAAAAAACTGCATCAGAAATAATTAATATGACAAAAACACACTAAGTTACCAGGCTTAAAATCCATAAATGCATGCTGATACCAAGTCCCCAACCAACTCTCCCATGTCCATGACTAGGCTGTGGGCCTACCATTATTGCAATATCTTGGAAAATGGTTCACTTCAATCTGTAAATTGCTTTCAACAAGAACAAGTAACATGATGTAGTAACCATATTCCGCATGATGATGTCCTTTATCTTGGGCAGCACAACACTCATATCACAGTCTTTATTGTTACATTCAAAACAGAATATCTGCTTTGGTAACCTTTCCCTTGCATGCTCATCTACAATGAATCATTCATTAGCAAAAAGAATGCACACACCGTAAGGAAATCATAATAATTCAGTCAAACTATACACTCACTGCCGTTATACAGGGTGGGCCACTTAAAAGTAGCCCGCCTCTGGTCCGAGCATGGCGGAGGTGGTCGCCCCTTGCACATTGTTCTTACCGACCGTCTATCTGTCTGGCGACGTCTTGTCGCCCCATATGCAGACTTCCAGCTTGATTTTGCCCTGCTAATCAGTCCTTGTGAACACATCGCGTCGAAAAGATGGTGTGGAAAGATGGTGGAAAAACAATCCACTTGCTCGTTCTTACTGTCACAGTATTATAGGAGGCAGGCTACTTTTAAGTGGCCCACCCTGTACAATTGTATATGTTATACAAGTTTTGCATACAGGATTTTCCATATCACCCAATGTATATTCCTTTTTTTTCAAGGCAGGAATGACAGGGAGGCAGGTCAGGAAGCCAGGGTGTTACTTTGTTGATGATTGTATCCTGTTGGCAAGGAATGCATTTAGGCCCAAGAGGGAAGAGATGGTGCCAAAGAGGCCGACCATGCTGGGACTCATGTCCAGCTTCCCCAAAGATGACAAAGGCAGAGGGAGGTCAAAAGCATTCCTGAGGAGATCCACAACAAGAGTACGGTGGTGATTTGTGACGTATTGGATGAATGCAAGGAAGTCAGTCCCTGGTGAGATCCACCGCTGCTTTGGTGGCATTGCCCACAGCTGATAGAGACCATAAAGCTCGTACAGGGATTTTCCAATGTTGGCGAGCAGAAGAACGAGCCAGCACCGGGAAATGAAGCGGTTACATCTGGACGTGTTGACACGAACGAGCCCAACTTGGCCGAGCCAGGCCATGTGGTCTGCAGAAAGATATCCTGCTTGGGAAATCTGGGCCACAAAACTCAACACTCTCATCACTGGATCCTTGATATCCAATGTTTTTGGAATCCCTTTCATTGACTCGACATTGCTCCCCAATCGCAATCCTGTCAGACAGAAATAATGCAATTGTTGAAAATACCCACAGAGAATGAGATCTTAACACATTGACTGCCAAGCCCTTCTCCCACCAGGTGCTCCCACACAGTGGCATAGCCAGGTTTTCATCAATGGGGGGGCTAACGTTGCCTTGTCGGGGTGGGGCAGACACATTTCAACCAGAGCTTGAACTAAACTTGGAGGGGCTGAAGCCCCACCCACCCCCCCCCCTCGCTACACCACTGCTCCCACCAGGCAAGAAGGATGTCTCTGCATCTAGTGCACTTTGAACTTTGGTGTTTTAATATGACATGACACTATTTGAGAAAAAAATGCTTGCAACCAAAAATGATGTCAGCCATAATGGATTGTCTGACCACATAATACTTCAGTTGTAACCATGTACACAACTAATAGGTGATGTGGCTATGAACCCATTAATTTTATCTATTTCTATTATCAGTTGAATAATAATGTCCAGTCTAATTCTTGACCAAAATGATGACACATTCATTGTTTATTCTTTCATGGAAGTGGTAACTTCAGAAATTGATTACTCTGATAGTGGAACTACATTTGCCCACCTCCTGATCTTAGTTATCTTAGGGGGGGGGGGGGGGTTGATTGTTGATCATGATATATTCCTTCCACTTGAAGTTAATGATCTTCTCAATTATGAAGTCCTAATTCTCAACATAAAAGATATTAATTGCCTCGCCCATAAAATCCATATATGTAACATTGTAACACTGTAATCTCTTTGAAAAACTGGGACCAATACTCACTGGACTGATCTTAGGAAGCTCTCAAGCCTGCTAACTTGAATGGGTCTTGCATGGGACAGATCAGAACTACTCCTTTCCTACTCCAACAACAGAAAAAGGTGATTGCTTTGCCAAGATTTGACTTCTACTTGATGCCCCAGGGGACAATTACTAAGAGACAATTAATCCTGATCTAAAGATCATCATTACTGAATCAATTGCACCATGACCTGGTAGATGGGCATTTTGTCAGTATATGTCATCAAAATGTCAAAACTATGGCATAAAACTCCTCAACCTTTGCAAAGATTCATTTGGAGAATAATCATCTGTTGTGGAAAACAAGATGATAGGTTTCACGGCTTGTCACTAACAGAACAAACAGAAGAGCAAGATTTCTTCCACCCATCCATCAATTTTGCTGAAAAATGTTTGGAAGGAAAAAAATGGACCAAAATTGGCAACAAGAAAGCAATGTAATTTGCATCATTCATGTCTGAAGGAAGAAGGAAGAAGGAAGACAAGCTAGGAAGAAGATAGAGTAATATACTGTATATTATGCTGTGTAGTTTGTCAGGAAAACCCAACATTGTGCACATAATGCTTGACAAACCACCTTCCTGATCAATTAAAATCATTTTCCCCAGAATATAGTACATTAATGCACCATAGAGATCAATATCATGTTGCTTATTATTCACTTGAGCCTTTGAATTGCTAAGCAAAATGCACACAGGCATCAACCAAAACAGGTCAAAATAGCTTGGAGTTGAGCATCAGCCACCGGGACTGACAGGCCTGGCACGAACTTCTTAGCGCCAGCTATGGGTGGCTGATGTAGCAGTCGATGTGTCAATAGTGTCTAGCAATCTAACTCCAAACAGCGAAAATGAAGGCATACCAAATCAGGATATAGACAAGTAGCTGAAATGCTAGGAAGGTAACATGTATGGTACTAAAATAAATAAAAAAAGAAATCCCTTACAGGAAGTAATTACTTGCTTCCAGCAGTTACATTAAAACATTCGTAAGGAAGATCTCTTTCCATTCTGGAGAATTTTGCCATTAAGAAAATGAATTCAGTTTCATCTTTGTCAAATCATTTTCCAAGAAAGTGTAATTCTTAATGTCAGAAACCAAAAGCTAACCAGGATTGCTGACTCCCACTTTATGGAACTAGGGCATCTAAAGCAGGAAAATTGCAGATACCAAGAACAAAGACAAAATTTGCAGAACAAAATATCACACAAGGACTAAGAATATTTAATGTACTGCCTGAGGATATAAGGGCTGCAAAATCAATTCAAATCTTTAAAGCTAAATTATTAAATTATTTTTAAGAGTCTACAATAGAAAACAGCTCCTTTTAGGCTGATTAGATTGACCAGATTCCTGAGGGAAAAAAAAAGAAACCACACAAACAAACAATAAAAACCAATACATTCAATCAATCAAATAATATTTTTTTGCATCCCAACCTGGCCATCAAACAAACCCAAATGGGTTCAATGAATCATTACCACTATTTGTATTTGCTTTTTCTCTCTCTCTCTCTCTCATTTATTTATTTATTTATTTATGTATTGTCTTTAATTTTTGTCATTGTCTTTACCTTCATCTTTGTTCTTTATCTGCAAATATGTGGAAAATATATTCTATTCTATTCTATTCATGAACCAGAGGTCACACACATCGGACCATTATGTGCTGCACAAGCCTGATAAATTTCTCAAGTGCTATGACTTTCCAATCCAAAATGGGGGTGGTAATGGTAGTCCAAGTAGGTAGTTACCCTTAAGGATGTCCATGCACTGCTCCTTCATATGAAAGCCAAAATGAAATGGGCTGTATTTCAACGCATCCTTTGATCAAGATCAATCTTTAAAAAATACACAAAACAAGTGGAATCAATCTGAGAGGGATAAAGTAATCCAGGGAAAGGCAGAAATATTACTTAAAGAGAACGGGCAGAAATTACTAAAAGTAAAAGTGGAAAAATAAATCTACTACAGAAAAAATATACTTCAAAGAGTCATGCAGTATCTGCAAATGATTAATTGCAGGCTTTTCAGATTTTGCACTCCCCAATATCAAGTCACAATAAAGAATGGAAAAAGAAAGGACATTTCAGAATGTAGAGCATATGCCATTCTACATTTCCATCCCTTACAATATATGGCACCTGAACCACTTTCACACAATTACTGCTGATGTAGGCTTCCCATGACTGACCTCTTCTGAGTGTTGAAATAGAAGACTCTAGGGAAATGAGCTTCTTCACAAACTCGGGGTCTCTGCCTTTCAAGGAATGCCATAGAAACTTGCTCGCATATTGGATGAGTCTGAAACCATGCCAAAGCCATGAAACAATCCACATTCAGTTATTGTCCCTTCCATCAGCTAGAATGCAGAAAACTTTAATCTTTCGCAATAAATTCTTGGCTAAATGTGGAGATAGTGTCAAAGAGCAGAATTGCCACATAAACATTGCAGCACAATCACCATCACATTAATTGAAATTATGTTCATGAAAAACTTTGCTATTTTTAACTTATGCTGGGAGAGTCCTTCAGGATTAATTTCCAACTTACTAATCAGAGCTACACAAATCTAGACTAGAAAGGGTTCACAGTTGTGAGTAAAAATTGCTTTTCCAAAGAGTTAACTTTTTGACAACTAACTAGTCACAGCCATATGGTGAAGTGAATCAACTTTGCTGTACATTTCAAAACCACACAACTTTGAGGAATAGATTTTATATTAATTGAATCTATGCATTACTAGGATTGTACTAGGGTAGGCAAGTTTGCAACATGTAGTCTCCATTATGGGTCCAATGAATTTCAACCCGTGGATATTTCTAATACTCCACACTGGGAAAATAAAGAATTTATTCAATAGCTGAAGGGAATTGTGTGGATACCTAGTGTTTAATCTTGAGAGAACACCCAGGTTTATGCATAGATGGAGAGATAATTTTTACAGTTTATCATTATGAACCACAGCCATTTGTTCAGTACTCTTTCAGCTTCCTAGTCATGAACAAAACTGTGACCAAGTGATGTCACCTTAGGCACACTTACATGCTCACATGCATTTAACTTAGGACCTACAGTCAGGTTGCAAACCATTTTTTAAATAATATTTATGAAAGAGGACTGGAATACTTTCTAGCATATTTACCTCAATGTCCTATCTTTTCCAGTAAGAGAGTTATTGAGAGCAAGATAAACTTCCATCCCTAAAGATGACTGCAAAATGTATAGGTACTTGTTAACATTCACTTTTGTGGATTCACCCTCTCAATCAAAATGCCACACTTGTCCTGGGGAAACCTGTTGAAGAAAGAGAATCAACATCAATCACAATTCAAAGGTCAAACAACTAAAAAAAAACACATAGGAATACAGGACAAGCAGGCCTTCAAGAGGTCTGCCAGAGGCAGCTTTGGAGGAACAGGCCAATGTTACTTTCCACCTGGTGCCTGACATGTGATTCACATGTGATAGATTCAGACCAAAAACAACTCCAGAGAGATGGCCCCACCCCCAGAACACACCACCATTTACCATACTTTTTTTTAACCATTTAGATAATAAAATGATCAAATTTTCCTCATGCATTTAAGCAGTACAGGACTCTTGATCTCATGAGCAGCAATGTGCCAAGGTGGCTTTCAAGTTTTCTTAACCTCTTAATAGGAAATTATGCATACATCTATTGTGGCAAAATGCTCCCTATATACAAATATGTTGTACAATATTTCAAGTTTGAGTTAAATATGAACTCAAAACTCAAAATAGGAGAATAAACTAAAAAAACGAATTATATATTTCTGTACACAAACACTAATTATTACTGTCACAAAAAAAGAGTCCTCATTCTCTGCTCAACTTCTGCCTGAGAAATTCTCCACTTAAGGGGTTAAGAGTAGCATTGATAATAGTTATAAGCCAAGACTTGACATGTCAGTTGGATCCATACAACCTAAACAGTTCTTTTACAATATTCAATATGTGCAAGATTCCTTCTGTTCAGCATCCCAATGGCAATGTAAGTAAATGTGATCAAATATGACTCCAGTGCAAGATCCTTTCCATGTTTCCCCTTTTCTTGACATGTTGGGCATTGTAATGGCACAGTTGCTTCACAGTCACAAAGCAGTTCCCTCAGCTTGTTTCTTTTTATTCATGATTCCCAGAAAAAGACCTTCACTATTTGTGTTTATACTAGTCCTTTCCAGCATATTTTACCTCCAATTATGAGCCACCTGCTGAGATTTTTTCTAGTGAAATAACAAATCTTTATATATCATACATTATTTAGGCTTCTTGGTCTTGTAGTTGGGATTAATGTCCATCTCAAGCAATCCAAGAAATAAGCAAATAGGAGAAAACAAGTGGACCAAGTGCATGGAACACATGTGGAAGTAGGCAGTGGAACAATATAAAGCAGATGAGGAATGGCTCATAGAAAATTAAGGAGATGATGGTCAATGATGAGCATGATGTTTATCTTCGAAATAGATGTGAAAATACTATTTTCCCTTCTCTTATATGATCATTGAAGACAATGATATTTTGTGCTCTTGTTCAAAACCAAAAAAAAGCAAAAACTTGCATTCTTTCTACTCCATCTCCATTAACAAAATTTAAAATGAAAACATGAGCAAATTGATAGGATATAGGCATTTATAAGGAGGGTAAGGGGCAAGCAAAAACAAAGGGAAAAAAGTATTATTTTTATTTTTCAATTTCATAGATTAATTGAAACAGACAATAGTACTAGTGCTGACTTCAGAATTTGAATAGGGATATAGGAAAGATTTTCAATTTTGAGCATCTTCATTGTGATGTCATGCTGGTCCTCTTTTTGACTTAATCAGTTATACATTAAAAAAAAATAAAATAAACAGATTCAAATAAGAAAATTTTGAATCCTTGCAGTCATCATATTCAAACTGCTGGTTTACATCAAACCCATGGCCAAGGTGAAATGTGAGAGAGGGCATGCAGGAGTACATGCAATTAATGTACACTCTGGGAATACTTTAGATAGATCAGTACAAAGTACAGATTGAAGAAAAAAGCATTTCACCAAGCTATGGACACTTTAACACCTCAACAGCTGTGATCAAGTTAATTCAATTGTGAAAGTGTCTCATTCCTGCTGCTTCTTACTTGTGATTTTTCAGGACAATCTATGCCAGTCCAGTCATGCATTTGCATAAGGTTAATATTAATTGCATAATGGTGCACCAGAAGCAAAAACTCAGCATAGGGATGTGTAAAGAAAAGGAATGCAGCAGTGAAAGAGCTAACAAACTTTTCCCCCAATGGAGGATGTTTTGGTATTACCCCATAGTACTTTCTTTTTCACTCCCTGCAGCTGCTTTTATTCAAATTCATTTTTGGTACAGCAGTTTCATGGACATCCCACTCTAGTGGGAGAATTAATCAAGATCTTGAAGATGAAACAAACATGCACATAATTTATTAAGAAGATGGATTTTAATGTCTCACCTAAAGTGCTTTCAAATGAATACCCAGTTCCAAGGATACATTAGATTTGTCAGTACTAAATGCTGTTTATGCTTAATCACTGATTGAATAATCACACCTGCAGAGCAAAAAGATCAACACATATTTATCAATATAGTATAAACTAGCCTTAGCTTCCAATGAATACAAGAATCAAATTATTTACTCCAGGATAAAGAAAAAAGTAAGGATACTGACTTCTTGAATTGTGTTCAGAAACTGTTTCTGGAAAGAAAAACTGATGCATAAAATCATGAATCAAAGGAAAGAGATAAAAGCTCTTACAAAGGTGCCTTTAATGATAAATTGGAAGCAGACCCTAAGTAGCTTTCAAAACAAATGACTGCTACTCAGATGTTCAGAACTCAGAAAGATTTGAAGTGACAAAGCAAAAGCAACATATTTTGCTGCAGATGGGATTAAGCAGCATGCAGTTATTCATTGCATTCACAGTTTCTTGTCCTGTGACCATTAAGCAAATGTTCTGAAAAAAAGTACACTTACCAAAATATGAAAATTTATCAGGTTAAGTTTCAATGAAACTTGAAAGAATACTAAAATTAAAATGCAAGCTGTTCAGAGTCTTGGTCAAGTAGAATGAGGACATGTTGGAGGCAACTCTCAAGGTTTTGACTGCAAATTTATGAATTAGTCATAGTTTACTTACTTATCTTCAGCTTTCCAATGCCTATCCTTGATGCTAATTCAAGATAAGTGATTAATGGATTCTTGGCACAGGATGGTTCTTGGCATAGAGCACAGTTTCCTTAGTTTTTATTATATGTTAATAATCTTTTTTCCATCATCTCAATCATATATATATCTTGCAGCATGTCAAAAATCTTTATTCTTAACTGTTACAATCTTAACACCATCAAATGGAAATAAAGAAATCCATTTTCCAGGGAATAGCTTGACACAAGAGTCTCCTTTGACACATTGACTGCCAGGCTTTGTGAAATGCTATGACCATCAGCCACATGTGGATGACATGGCACTCAATGTGTTACCAAATGCTGAATAACCCCAGGATAGAATGCAGTAACTGCATTCCTTCAAACAGCCCTAACTGAGCTGTTGAGAAGGAGTCCAAATTGAATATAATGAGACACAGTCCTCAATAAGCATGAATATATATTGGAATTGGAAAATACTCTGACGAATTTCAGTTGGTGACATTGCCAACCATTGCATATTAAGATAAAGTTACAACTTCCTTCACCTCGAGTTTGATGTGCAAATAGTTGATATCAAGTTTCATGATACCAAGAAATGGGGAGAACCATTTCCAGTGTTTATTTTAATCAAAACCACAGCTGACGCTAATCACAGTGACATCATAATCACCATTAAGAGGAAACTTATCCATTAAGAAATAATATAGGACACAGAAATTTACACTTAATGAATTTTTTTTAAGATTACGATTCAAACTTATATGAGCCCAAAATGACAGCAACAGTATTGGGTGATGAGATAGCAAGGCAAGAATCCCAAGGATATGGTTTACTGGCCAACCCATTCAAGATCTACCCAATTTGCTGCAAAACACAGGCTAGGAGGCCAGTCTGATTTATTATGTTTTTGGGGAGCATAGCCATGGTAAAACCAGCTGTAGAGCCCTGCTCTGTCTTATTGGATAATATATGGGAACTGGGAAGGATGGGATCAGAAGGCATGCAAATTACTTCCTTAAAAAACTCAGCTCATCAATCAAAAATATGTCACAAAGATAGGATATAAGTGGCTTCCTTCTCAGTTATTGCTCAAGTAGAATGTGGACACAACTCCAAGTGTAGTTTGTTCAGACTTGATTTACCATGGATATTTTCCATCACCAATTCTGTGGCCAAGGAGCAAAATGGCAGAATCTCACTTTTCTGAATTAAAGTAATTTGATGTTGCTCCTAGACTGGCCTATAAAGAGGACATTCTGCCACTAGCTCCATAACCAACTTCAGGTATGTTTAAGATGGAATTGACTCTTCTACAGATAAAAGAAGTCCACTTTAAGGACACCAAACAAGTTATGCCATCAACAAAAAAAGTGGACTTAATTTATTGGCCATAGAATTGTCTTCAGAGAGATTGAACAGATACTTGGCAATTAAGTCATATGACATTGAATTTCATTGGCAACATAGATATGCATACCAACCATGAAAACATCTTAATCTATTTTCTGATATTCCTTTTCGTTGTTCCAGAGAATTCCTTGTCTATTTTAATCCATCAAATGATGGAAACTCATTGCCTGGTTCCTAACGAAGCCATGCATGTGAAAAGTTTTTTCCATCAGCAGTCCTTTCAGGACTTCAAAGAAACCTTTAGCATGCCTATTACATTGGCAACAAAATGTGCTCTAGATATTTTTTCACATAGAGAAATAAACCCTCTGAGAAAGTGTGATTTACCCCACTTGAATGAGGTGGAGGATAAAGTTAATCCCCTATTAGCACTCATCCCCATTTTTAGTCATTCAGACAATTTAAGCCAGGCAATTTACTAGCCAGCATAATCATAGGTCATACATCCAGAGACTGAACATGTGTTTGAATGGAAATAATAATCTAACTCTGAACAATCCAAGATAGTTTTTATTAATGCATTACATGAATGCTGGAATCATGATGAAAACAAGAAAGCAACTGGAGAAAGGGCCAGCAAGATTAGGGTACGTTGCTACAATATAGCTAACAAATGTGATGTCCATTTCATTGAAGTTAGACAAAGCCTAATGAATATCACCACCTCATATACTTTCATGACTGTGCTCCTTCAAGAGACAGAATCATATTCACATTTGAGTGCAAGTAAAGCTTTATTTCCTCAATAACATCTGATCCAGTATAGCTACAGGGATGGTCTTATTGGGTGGTTGTGTGCAGATGAATATATAGCAATATTTTAACACCCTTTTGATCACAAAACTTAATTGAAATTGATCCAGAACAGCAGCAACACATCACAAAGTTCATCAGTATTTTCCATAATTAATAGCAAAGGTGACACATTATTCACATGCCTCTGAGGTAACTCAATAGGCCTAGATCACAATAGCTTTCAGTGAGTCTCCCAGCTCTTCTACCTTAAGAGCCACTGGATTCCCAGCAATCTTCAGCATTTTCAGATTGAGGCATTCTTTCAGTGGGTTCACATCATCAATCAGGTTTTCAGCTATGTTGAGCTCCTTCAGGAATGGTAAGCATTCCAGTCCATGGCAGGAAGTTAAACAATTGTGCTGCAAATTAAGGGATTCACAACATTGAAGGGCAGCCAGTGGAGAAACACTCTTGAGTTCATTGTAAGAGAGATCCACTACTCGAAACAGAAGCAAGGAATCTGCGCAGTAAATGGTTGACAGACTCATCTCACTAAATGATATGGAGCCTGCATGCCAGTTCACTTGTTGAAGATGGTTTTCTATTAGAAACTTGCTCTTCAAATCTGTATAGAAATTGTCCCTCTGGCTGTCAACAGACTTGAGTTTCTGCAAAACCATATTGACTTCATCTTTATACTGTAGGGGATCGATGGCTCTCATCAAATTGACAGATGTGAGAAGGGGCCATTTACTTTCTGGTTCAAGCTCTATGAGCTCTTGACATGACTGTAGCTGGGATGTCAGTGCAGCAAGAACTTTCTCACTCCTTTGAGTGGTATCAGACTCCCAGATAAACTTCACTTGATCTTGAATCACCTGAATCCCTGCAACTTCATAGGAATGGAAGGAAGACTGTAGGGTAAAACTGGTCACTGGTTGTAAGACTTCTCTGGTTCTCCATATTTTTCTTTGGTACACATCTTGAAGATGTACTTTGATCATAGTATCACCAGCTGGTGCAAGGAAGATCAATCCTTGCTTATCCATCCTCAGAGGTTCTGAGAATACAACCAGTAATATTTTCAGCTCCAAATCCAAATAGAATTTCTCAATAGCAGGTTGAGCATAATTCTTAGTGGCAAGAAGCCACTTATGGTACAGCCAAGCACTCTGGTCCTCAGGATCAGTGAAAGCAGCATTTTGTATCAATTCCAATTCCTCAAGACGTTTTTCTTCACTGAGGAGCCAAGTGCCATTGGGATCTGGACACAGTTCAGGCAGCAAATGGGACCTATAATGCCATGCTGAATAATTAGAGAAATTTTCCAATATGAGCTCACTGGTATAATTCAATTCCTTGTGAAGATCTTGTCCAAACTTCTTCACAATGTATCTGCGATAATCCCAACAGTGAAAATTCCTAGAATCAAGTCCAAGTGCTTTCTGAGTTAGATCTAATTCAAATGCCCAATCAGGACAAGGCATTCTTTCCATGATCCAAATTCGATGATGCCATGCACCATATGACTTTGGATTGCATTTCAAGCAGTCTGCTGCCAACTTGAGCTCAACAAGACATTGTTTCTGGAATGCATCCTGATCCTGACTGACCTCCATCTGAAGCAGGGCTTCTTTACGAACATTCCACATGGTACCAAAGTCTGGATTGCAGAGAAGAACTTGCTTTGATGCATCCAGAACTTCTTGAAAGCATTCCTTGTTCTTCCTCTTGTCTTTGACTTCATCAAGCAACCTGGTATACTGAATCAATCTCTCTTTTCGTTCCTTCTCTTTTTCTGCCTCTTTTTCAGCTGTTGTCTTCACCTTCACACGACCGTGCATTTCCTATTTTTTCTTTCTTTCTCAATCAGTTAATCACCTGTCTGGAATGAAACAGAGCAATACATCAATGAGACCATACAGGAATATACCTCCTGCTACAATTATCATAATTTGAGAACTATCATCTTTCCCACCATAAAGAGCATGACTCTTGGGTCCCTGATACAAAAGAAAGAATCATGAATCAGTTTTTCTGACAAATGGATTCAACAATAGAGGAGTCCATGAGAACAGGTTCAACACAACGATGATATGCACTTGAAAGCACCTCATCCAAGAGATTGTGAACCAAGTTTTCATCCGAGACAAAGCGCCACAAATAAATCTGGAGGTAGTGAGCATCAACTTGAATCTGTTGGACACCAAACTTCCCATAAGTCTTGAGTCTCACACATTCCAAAAAGGCCTTCAAGAGGACCTTGATGATTCCTGTGAGGATGGAGATCTTGTTGAAGTCTACAGATGAATGAATGTCAACACGATCTGAGAACAACCTGTGCAAATTGGTGAGAAAGGACCGATCTAGCTGATGAGGTGGATAACTGGGCCATGCGGATTTGTTTTGTGTTCGAGAGAACTGACTATATGCTCGGCGGCTGGAATCCGAACTCCTCTCCTTTCTTGGACCTTCCTCAAACAAAGCACCCACATGGGTCTCCATAGCAGATATGTCTTCAACAATCCGCTTCATGACAGGCCGTACATTCCGTGGCTCATTGCTCTGCAGCCAGTTGCGTGTTTCCATTGACTTTCTTATCATCTGGGACAATGCTACTCCTTGTAGCATGGTATAGTGATCCACAAGACTCTGGGCAGCAGCTTTTAATGCTTGGCATAAGGAGCTACGATCATTTTGGTGCCTTTTGTCAGTGACAGTGACACCAAATATCTCATCTATCATGGTGAAAAAGTAGTGCACTGTCGACTTCTCTAGATCAAGACACACTCTGGATAGGATGAGCAGTAATGGAGGGAACACTTTCCCAGACCGATGACCCTCACAGAACTCCTTTGCTGTCTCACAGACATATTGAAAGAAACCCACAATCACTGTTTCCCTAACTCCATCATTGGCAAAGGACTGTCTGAAGTATGATTTTGTTGCAAATGTCACATCTGGGGCTACAAGAGCTTGGAGGGATAGAAGAGTTGCCTTCATGTGAGAAGCTATACAAGATAGCATAAGGTTGACAGCTTCATTCATTCCAGAACCCAAATCTTTCTCTTGGGCCACAAGCTTGGGAGATTGAAGTGCTTCAGAAGAGTTCATGAGTTGTCTTTCAAAATCATCCTTCAGCCTCTGCAATGAAGCTTCACAACAAACCTTTGCCACTCGTCCAATTAATTCTGTTCCTGTTCGTCCAAAATCTGTTCCAGGAAGCAATTGACTGATTCCATGAAGTCGTCGCAGGAACTTGTCCAGACCCTGAACCAGACCTTCAAAGGAAGAGGCTTTTTTAGCTTCTTCCAAAGATCGATCTTCCACACTTTTGAGATATCGATTCATCAAAGCATTAGTGTAGCTTAATAACCTCTCCACTGCAGCTAATGCAATGGCATTTCCTGAATCTGACCTCAATTGCCTATAGCGAATGATGAATGAGTCATTATAAGCTGCCACAAGAAGACAGAGGTCCCCAATAAAACCATTACAACCAGCATCCATGAATTCAACATAGCCCGATTGGTTGCCATCACAGTTCTGAGACTGCCGCTCTAATGTTTCAAGGGTATTCACAAGATGAATTCCAGAAGACTCCAAGAAGAGAGAACACAATGTGTCTGGAGGTTCTCCCAATCGAAGGAGCAAATCAATGCTCTCTGAAAGTCCTTGGGGAGATGCATCTTTTTGTGTGAATTTCTTACGCAAGGAAGTCTTTAACTCTTGGACAATTGCTTCAGTCTCGTTATGAATACTATGGAAGGAAGTCATCTGCTCATATTGACAAAGGAACTGCTGAGCTTGCAGGTAATCTTCTACTGCCTTTGCTTCCTCTCCATTGTTCATGAGTTTCTTCATTTCAGTAGGTAAGTTGAAAAGGAACTGCAACCTCTGAAGCATTGAATGTGTCCCAGACAGCTCATGAATTTGGTGTCTCCTATCTTGTAATGTTGATGACACCTGGTCTGATGACATTGATATGTTCTTCATCTTTTCCTTCAAATTTTCCATCTCATCCTCCATTTTTTTGAAGTCAGTTTTCATCTTGCGAATTGTGTCTGTAGCTGAGATGAACTTGTTGTAATTCTCATATACTAATGTCTGCATTTCTGAATCAAGCTCTTGAATCTGCCTGAATATTTCCTTCTCCTTCTTCATCAAATGAGACAGGGGAGCTTCCTTGAGCAGCTTTTGCAAGTACAGTTCTGGGTGGAAAAGTGAGCCATTAATGTTGTAAGATTCAGCATCAAAAGCATCTTCTTGGCCCCTTCCTGATTCCATCTCTCACGTTCACAAATTTTCAGGGCAGGTGACACCTAGAATTCAAGTTGAATAGGAGAGAATAGTACCATACTTCATTTATAAAACTATGATAGAATACCAGAAGAATAGGGGGAATGGATTTCCTAATCATAAGACTAACACAGGGCTGTGTAAAATACCCAGAATTAGTTATATTGCAGTTCAGGGAGGTCAGCTATAGATGCAATAGGCCTAGCACCCATGGGATGAGCCAACATAGATTTTATCCTTCAATTCTCTGGCTATGGAAGATTATGATTATCCAATAGGGCAAAGGGAGTGACTTTTATGTGTATTGGCACTTTCTGCAGCAAAAAGCAACAAGCCTATAAAACTGCTTCCCACTGAGAGGACAATTTGTTGATGCCAACAAAAAAAGAAAGGCATTGGTTGGCATTATAAATGATGCAATTGCTCCAAAAGTGGTTATAAGGCAAAGCATACAAGTCACTGAGAAACAAACATGGTAAATAATGCTCATGAATCATTATAAATATTCCTCCAATCTTGGCCAATTCTTACAGATGTTGACTGGCAGCATTCAGCACAGAACAAATGATTACATACCTCCAATCCATTTGTGGTTCAAGAGATACTTAGGTTTTTAAACTGCCCCCAGGAGAGAGGAGCTTTCTCATTTTCAAGCATTACTGTTTTGTATAATAGGGCAGATGAAATAGGAGCAGAAATGTGTGACCAGGACTAGCAACTAAGTTGCTTTTCTACAGAAAAGGGCTAATGTGATAAAGGAATAATTTCATAAAAACTGCAAAATCTCCTCCTGGCTCATTTGCAACTAATCTGAATTCAGATAAAGCCTTCTTGCATTTGGAGACATTTGATAGACAGTTTGAGAACTATTAACCCCCCCCAAACAAAAAAAAAGTTAGCTAGTTGTGTCACTGCCTCAGCCTTTCCAATTTTATGCCAAAATTTATTTTTGCCACCTTTGGTTTGCAGGAGAAAAACATTTTTTTTCTTACACTGGGTTGGCCTATTCCTCTTACAGTTGCCCATTAGACACAGTTAACTGTACACAGTGTATAGGGTTGCCCAGGTGACTGAACCCCCTTGGGATATTGTGTTGCTCCTTAAGTTAGGCCCAGTTAGGTTAGGTTAGGGGGGGTGGTGTGTATTTATATATAAGAATCCCAATCAATTGGGATTTCAGGTGACTCAGCTCGCATTCAGTTAACCGCACGTTTGGTTAAATTTAAGCAAAACAGGCCTATAAGTAATGTCTACTGATTATATCCAGGGCAGCTCTGGATCTAGTTTTAACAAGTGAAAATGACCCCACCCCAATGAGTGCTCTTTGCCATGAAATACCCAACCATTGGGCTTCCTAACTGTTCATACCTCAGCTGAAATGAAAGAGAAATAATCCTATAAAGCTAGGACACTTGGTGTTTACATCAGTCATTAGCTGTTGGGTTCCCATCCCTCACTCTCAAAGGCAAGAGGGAAGCAATAGAGATGTGAAGAGAGCAGTAGCCAAGCTGCCTGGATATAACCTTTACCCTGTTTTCAGGTTGACAATGAACCCACTTATAAAAGCACCTCCATCAACTACAGGTAGAGACACCTTCCACTTTGGTAGTTTTTGAAGCACATTATGAAACAGATCATCTGAAATAGTGCTTTCCCCCATCCTCCACTACGCAGAGGAAATACGAATTCAATTCAGAGTGAAGACTACCTGGAGGCACAACTGAAAATTAAATCATGTGCCTATGACACGTGCCTCATGTAAGCACACAATACCAGGTGTCCCATGTTTGAAGGAAAGAAAATACTGAAACTAACGCGAATGAGAGGGAATTTGTAAGATCGGTAGGCCTAACGTAAATGACCAACAGAATATGTTAAACACACGCCATAGTAGTTTGGCTCAACAAGTTACATAACGCTTCCTTTACGTTAGGCTAATGTCAAGAATATACCAGGCGAGCCGCAGACGCTATCAAAATCACGTGAACAAAATGAAGCCGCTCTACTACATCAGGACCACGTGCACATACTTCTCTGGATCGCCAGAGAGCTGCATTGAGCCGGGCAGTGCCATACTTGCCAACAACCCCATTTACCAGTGTTGTCATATAGGAATCTCCTCCGCTCCTAATTCCTAAAACCTTTGCCTGCACCAGCATGCTCCATGGGCATCATGATTAGGATGGTATCATAAACACTGACGTACTCTGTTTCATTTTTCGTCCAATACAGGAAATTTCACTGAATTCAAGCATATTAAAATTCACCTCGAACTTGTTCTAATTAACTTCGTGATTTCTGCACGGATCGAATGCGCTTCTCAACAGGCGAAAAGATGCGAAGTGGGTCAAAAAACAGTCGAGGTCAGAGATCACCACATCATATGCGGGCAGTGGCGGCTCGTGGGTAAAAAAAATTTGGTAGGCAGCAGTGGTGCAAAAAAAAAAA